GATGATCGCCCATCCCTGCAGAGGCGCAGGTAACTATAGCAGTGACGGCCTGCCAGGGCTAACCCTAGTGAATTGCTGCCATTTTGTTACCCACCCCTGCCTTATGAGATGGGCCTATGCCAAAACCCCAGAGCCGGTCTCTGCCCATTCCCACTTCCTGGAAGATTGTAATTTCACTATGGCCTTTTTTTCATAAGGCACATAACTCTGGACTAGAGTTTCAAATACATTCTTTCCACATAGCCCTTCCCTATGATAGTGCATTTCCCTTCTATGGGGCAAAGTGAAAAGAAGGTAAAAACAGCTGGCTTGGAAGGGTCTTTTGGATTCACTACTATACGAATGACCAGTATTGTATGAATGACATTTTCTATGTGCATCTTGAAATGCTCCTAAAAGCATAAGAATAGCCCTATCTGTTCTTCCAAAGGTGGCCAAACCAGGTACCCCAGAGGGAGTGAACAGAACGGGTAATTGTCAAGTGATCTGTTCCCCCCCTCTTCCCTCCCATTGTCCCCATCCTGACATAAAATGTGAGTACTCCGAAGGGTCGTCTCTATTGTGAGTACACAGCAATACTCAATCTATAGTAAAAGCCTTATAAAAAGTTCCTAGAAACATTATCAATTTTTAAACTTTATTTTAGCCATTTAAAATACACCCACCCACACCCACACCCACACCCACACCCACAACATTTGTAAAAGTGGCCACTGGTTTTCAGGGTCTCTACTTTAGAGCTCCAAAGACGCAGTGGTCCTGATTTTCAAAGGTGCTGGGTTTCTGGTTGTGTTTGGTTGTGGGCTTTTTGACCACTTTCTGTGTGTATATAGAGCATATGTATGTATGCACATAGTCCAGAAGGCCAATATTTTCAATTGTATTACCTTTTGCTACCTCTCTGCATTAAAAGTAGCCAATAAAGGTGTTTAAAATGTACATTTTAACAGAGTTATTGTCAACTTTTAATTCTGCCTTCTGAAGAGGCTACATATTTGTTGTTCAGTCTATACAGGCAGTCCCCAGGTTACGTACAAGATAGGGACTGTAGGTTTGTTCTTAAGTTGAATTTGTATGTAAGTCGGAATTGGTACATATTGTAGGGGAAACTCTAGCCAAACATTTCTCCAGAGCTCAGTTTTATTCTCCCACACCTTACTTCCCTCAGTCCTTTATTCTCAAGATGAGGTGTCTGCTGAGAAAAGCCGCTCCGCGTCTCCCTGGTCTGCTGGCGGGGCGCTAGCTTCGCATCTCCCTCGTCTGCTGGGGGGAAGCAGCTAGTGCGGGGTTGCCTCACCCCGTTTGTAAGTAGGGATCCGATGTAAGTCGGATCCATGTAACCCGGGGACTGCCTGTACATGCAGACTTTTTTCCAAGCTGAGACCTTACATATTTACCTGCTTTCATTCTTCACTAGAAAGTTCTTTTCAAATCAGTCATATAAGCAGTTTAACATATGCCTGTATTTATATACCTCTCTCCTAGCATTTAGGTACCTTTACGTATTTTTTTAAATACGCTGACTTGATTTTTCCCACCATAAATCTCCAAAGAGATGGCAGGGCGTGTAACTGAGCCCCGTAAATAGGGACAGGTCCAAGCTGTGAAGTTCAGACTTAGATTTAGTCAAACTTTCTCTGAGTTGAACGTGGTTGGTACATTGTTCCACTTTGGCTCACTACAGACTAAGTCAAAAGTCTGAAGTTTTCACCTGGACTTTGCTCTGAGGCACAGGAGGGTTGGATCAACCCTTGCAGTTTAGACTGATCTGCATTCAGAGTGGAAGCAGTGCTGCTAGGGCATTTCACTAATTAAGTTTTTAGAAACCCGTGCCTTCTCTAATAATGACACTGGCTTTCATTGCTTCTCTCCTTCATTTTTATTAACTAACGTGACTAGCAAGAGCATGTGCAAGGAGACATATTTGTGCGTAAAATCTGCACTCATGTTAACATGGCATGTGAATGGCTGCATTCAGTTGCCCAAGACCTCAGTGGTTTCCTAGTGGTGATTAAATCTGTTGCCATTTGCCGCAAACGGTTTGCAACTGATGGGAAACTCAGAGTGACACTCCACCCTCTTTGAGGCCAGCCATCCATGCTTGGTTACGTGCACATGTTTCAGATTGCAAACAAACCAGCTTTCTAAGAAAATAGAAAATAAGAAAATAATTAAAAGTACAGCCACTAATTTTGCAACCATAGCTCAGAGAGAGCTAGTGAAAGAAGTCAGTGTTTGGTCTCTGCATTCTACTGTTCTCTCGCTGTCAGTAAAAGTCACTTGTTTTCTGTTCTGTTGGGCAAAAAGGGTTTTGCCCTTTTGTCCCTTTTTGTATTATGTGTATTTTCCTGACTCTCTCTTTGGTTGCAAAGATTTGATCAGCCTGTATGGTTTTGTCCCTCTCTCTGTCAGCTTTCTCGATATTTCAGCACAGTGCTGTTTTTTTGTTTCCCTCCGGCCTTTTTGGGCTATCGTTTCTTTTTATTTATTTGTTTATTTTGTTTCTCCTTTATTAACAGTTCTCCTTGGTTAGGAAGACCAATCCCTGCAGAGTTGTTATGCACGTGGCTTGCTGCTTGCCTTGAATTTCATGCATGGAATCTTTTAATGCCTTCTTCTGACACTCCTCAGCTGACAGGACAGCTCTATCCCAAGAGACACTGGGCTTCCAAAAGGAAAAGGCCACTTTCCTTCACATTACTGGAGCTGGGTAGGGAAAAGTGGCACTTTGGCTCCCCTCCAGGTGATTAAAGTTCTAGCAGTAGCATAGTTTCAAATCAGAAACTTAGGTCCTTTTAGCAAAGTTTACCAAGACTTTATCTTAGTCTGGTACGGGCCTTGTGAGTATGTCAGCGCCCATAGGAAGTGCTGGTCCAAATTTTTTGGCAAAAGATGCAGAGTTGGCAATGCCAAAACTTTTTGAGAGTCAGTGTCAGTTTTATCAAACTGTTCTTGTCCAAAACAAAACCACAAAATAATCTAAACATTTTATTATGACACGTTGTGGGGGCCGGGGGAGCTTTTCTTTCTTTTGGTTCAAAACAATGTTTTGTTTGGTTAATAAAAATACAAAACCTTTACAAATGGTTAAAACTGAAACAAAACATTTGGTTTCAAGTTGAATGAATTGTTTCAGCTTTGGCAAAACAGTAACATTTGGTTTCACATTGAATGAAATGTTTAGTTTCACTAGAAATTATTTTTACTTTTAGATTTGCTTAAAATTTTAAAAAATCATTTATGGTCCAACTCTATTTTTGTATTAATTTGTCAGGTTTTTTTAAATTACCAGCTAAC